CAAGTACGTGATTAGACTTTTCAAGGAGAACTGGGTCAGAGACTTTGGGCTTCCAAAGTCTATTGTTAGTGACCGGGATGTCTGATTCACAAGTGAGTTGTGGAAGGCTAGAGCTGCAGAACAGGGTACACAGTTGCAGATGACCTCCGGGAACCACCCAGAGGCAAACGGGCAAGCAGGGGTTGTGATCATCGGCACCTGACGTTGCATACAAGCAGGAGTTGTGCCTAGTGACAGTGCACGTCATGCACAACCAAAGATTCTGATTAGTGATTCTTCACCATATATGGGTGAGGGAAAAATCAACAGCAGGTCAACAATGGTTTTGTTGTGCTTGACTGCGGTAATTTTTCGCGTTATATATGTACAGTAAGGACATCCTGTTATATATTGCGCCCTCTACCGAGATATCGAGGGCTAAGCAAACAAAGTTGTTGAGAATTCTCTACAATCAAACACTGACAACGTTGTGGTAGACCCACGTGATAGGAAGCTCCCAACAATTAATTTAAGCGGAACACTTTGAAATCCTAGAGCTCTTTGCAACCAATATCATCAGTCTGTTATTGATGGGAAACTTGAGTGACTTTTCAAAGCCTTCGACTAATGAAGACCCTATTGCATACTTCTTAGTTTTTCACCCAAGGGTTATTGCAATGGGACTTTGCGGAGGAGAAAAAGGAAAACCCTTGGAATTGAGAATACATTGGTAATCCCTTACACTCTCTATCGAGATAAAACAGATGGTTGGGAAATCAAAGTGTTTGAGAAGATAGAAGACTACAAGGTAATAATGAGGGATGCTGCAGTTGGGGAAATAAAAAATCGACATAAGTTCATAGAGTTTGTATTCTACATGCACGGATCCGATGAGAAGCTACATAGCACAATCTCATTTCTTGAGACCGTTTAAAGGGCGAGTGAAGTAATTGGTGCTTAAAGGTCTTAGACCGATGCAATGCCTACTTTTGAATTCTCTTCAAAGATCCTCTGAGCAATCAAGTTCAGCCTATAACAAACATCTTTACATCCAACAAAATCATCATTTGCTGATAACAAGAAACTCTTTTGCATTCAATGCCACTGTTGGTATCAGTTCGGACAGATGACCTTTGATAGAGCTCGAGAGGCCTCATGGTATCCTCTAATGAGCTCAATCCGTTTTTTCTTGGCAGTCTCAGTGCATATTAATCTAAACTTAAGTAGCAAAGATCAACAATCACAGTTAATCATCACACAGTCTTTATAAATCTATTATCAGACAAGCATCTATCAGCCAGTGTTCTTATCAGAGGCATTAAAATTAGCTCCAACATATTTCTCGACACATGATTACCATCTCCTCATTTCCAGTTCATTAGATTGTCTGGACCAGTCTCAATCAGATTGCTTCCAAGGATGCCTTCCAATACCGATATGTCCATCCAACCGGTTTCATACAAGAAGATCTGTCAATCTTCGTGGTCCTCACTGATTTTGCATAAGGGGCTATTTATGATATGAGGATCTATATGAAGAAGGGAAAAGAAGTTCATGAGCACTTTGACTCAGTCTGGTTCTCAGCAGCCAAATATCTTGAGGGGAGAGAGCGAGAGCTTGATGAAAGTGGCATAAAACTGATCCGTAGCTTTGGACCCAAGCTCTACATTGATTACCCCAGGCATCCTGTTCCTTTTCTCCTCATAGATGGCTCTTATTGGGGTGACTTGGTTGACTTGGCCAAGAGATATAGTTCCCTGGCGGAGATTGATTATGAGGCAGTGACCGAACCATTAGAATTCAGGCATCTAAGACGGGGTGTCTTCTCCAAGCCATATCTTCTCACTCTATGGGAGGAGTTTTGTGCTATGCTTGACTTCCATATTTTTTGCCTTGGATGGACTTATTTGAAACTTGCAGGCTTTAGGTGGTTCTACATCTCTAAGCCACAATCTCAGGGGCCACATAGGCATGGCTCAAAGCGCTTAAGGCGCACGGTTAAATGAGATATTGAGAACAAGACTTGAGAGGGATGAGTGAGGACTCTCGACGAGTGCTAGTCATGTCTTTTCATCTGTACTTCCTGAGATTATTATGAGTTATCACCTTCCCTCATTTATCTTGTCTTCGCCTTGAGTCAGTCAATCATGATTCATTTGCATTGACATTGCCTGAGATTATGCTTCCTGCTTATCTTGTCACAGTTCTCAAATTTCGAAATTGGCAAACTTAAAATGTGCATGGCATATTTAAAATTTATAATTATTATTTGCATGATCTTTGTTGTTCCAAATCACAATAAGAGATTCATAAGACCGGGGACCGGCGTAGACCGTAATTGAAGGGTCTCACTCGAAGCCGGATGCGCACAGCAGAAAGGGATTTGCAGATTTAATTAACGAAGTTATTTATTGCAAAATTTTAAACAGAATCCTGCTTGACAGCCTGTTGGCTTTCCAGTCGCTGGAAGCGACTTGATTGGAAAAAGTGAGACACCGGTACCACACCAAGTAGCGGTAGATGTGTCGGGTACTCGAGGCCAAGCAGAAGAAGACAAACTTGACAGTTGTAGAGGCCCAATACTTGTAGGCTAGGTCTAGGCGGGCACCAGTCCAAGTAGTCTGAGCCTAGGGCCTAAATGGGCAATATCAGCGTCTCCAATGATGTTTCCCTCCCAAAGGGAGGAGCTACCGGTTGCTTGGAGGTCGCGCGCCCTGGAAGTCACCGCCCAAGAGGCAAGCAGCTATATCTCCAAGAGGAGCGAAGTGCTTCTCCTTATTCTGCGGGTGCAAGTTTGGCGACACACCGCTGGAGCGCTGGCTGGAGCAGCGCTGTTGGGAAAGAAGGAGAGCCCAGCTCCCCACCTTGGTTATGGTAGAGGAGCTTGGGCTGGGGGCGGAGGAAAACTAGGACTAGGAAGGGGGAGCGCCATGGGTACTTACTTGGCTATGGTTGACTCCATCTTCATCACCTTGGTGGGCGCTACATCTGGAAGGGCCCAGTTGGGGTAGAGCTACATCAAGAAGCTTTGAGGCAGAGTCAGACATGGCGGCCTGAGTGGAAGCAGCCATAGCTGCTTTGAGTTGTCTTTTGCGCAGCAGGGCAAGGCCCTAGCAGTCCGCCATAGCCTCGGCCTTCACGAAGAGGAAGGTGGAGGTGACCATGGCTATGGTGGACCTCATGTTATGCCAAGTTGTAGAAGAGGGATTCAGACATTGACTCTGGTTGAGTCATTCATTATTATTATTATTATTTATTGTTTGAATAAGAGGAGATGAGAAAAGGAGGAGGAGATTTGTTGGCGAAAGGAAGGGGGATTATCATTGGTCTTTGCTGGTGTACATCTTTTTCTTCTTCTTCCTTTCTTCTTCTTCTTCTTCTTCTTCTTCTTCTTTCCCTCTGTCTCTCCTCTCAAGTTCATTCATTTCTTTTTGCAATTGGACGACATTGTACTTTCTCATGAATTTGTACTTCATAATTGGCCAGGATCATAGCATTGGTATCGGAGGGGATTCTACTTGCTGGCGAGAGTTGACTTTGCCGCTCCAACCCTAACCTAAGTTGGAGGGCTACCACTTAGGGTTAGGGCTGAAAGTTGAGGGAAGTGGGGCAGCGTGGTTAAGGAAAGCTGCCCCCACTTGGTTAGGTCGTGTTGGGTCGACACCAGGTTGTTTGAGAGTAAGTTTGGAGTGGCGAGACACTTCGAGAAGAATTCGTGCGACACTTTGGGAGAGGTGACAGTGAGAGGCACTCACACCTGGAATTTGACCTAAGGGAGACACTTGGCGACTTTAGGGCCTCCCTCAAGTAGGCGAGAGCGTAGCCATTCTGCATCTACGGACCGCAAGTTGCTACTTTAATCTTCAGCATCGGCGGGGGATCCGATGTTGCACTTTGGTGTTGGAGTCAGACCCTCCTAGTAGATAGGACACTAGCGTAGGGGTAGCGTTAAAGGGGTCAGGAGGACCATATAAGTGGGGGGTGAGTTCTATTCATCTCGAAGGTCTGGCCAGTCAGGTAAGTGTCGGGCACCTACGGGATGCCCATCTATGTGTGTGCATGGTATTGATTGTCCTGATGTGGTTATTCTGGGTTTCTTTTCCTACGCTTTTGTGGTCTTGATTGTGTGTATGAATATGCAAACTGCTTCTTCACCTGCTGGATGAAGAGATGAGGTATCTTGCTTTGGACGCCA